TCCTTCCTTCCTTCCTTCCTTCCTTCCTTCCTTCCTTCCTTCCTTCCTTCCTTCCTTCTCAAAAAGCAACTTTTATTATCATGTGAACTGCTAAAATGTTTCCTGAAAACTGAACAGATTTCACTGAAGGATCGAAGCAATAGGAATGGAGGAATTATCCACTGTCTCCATCTTAAATTAGATTTGATGAATACAAAAAAGGAATCACTTTAGACTGATTCATGATGGCAATTGGAATTCATTCATAAGTAGCCTATGCATTGCATCTCCTTGCATCTGATGCAGTCTCCAGAAAAATATGAAACCACAACTAAATTATTGTTGGAGAGAGAGATTCCAGACCTCTGATAAGAGAATAGCAACCACGGAAGAGACTTAGAAAGCATAACCTTTAGAAGATTAGGAAAGGAGTGATTAAGGTAATGATTGAAATGGCAAAAGGATGAATTAGAAACAAAACATTCTCAAAAGAAAAATTCAAATCAGACACAGCATTGTTTGGGGCATTGTGTTCACTGACTCCTCTGGGACTATTAGCCAAAACTGCTCCTTCTCCATGTCTGAACTCACTTTTGATTTCCAGTGTAGTAGCTGTCTCTGGTTTATTATAATAGTAGCTGCCTGACATTGTGAAAGCAGTCAAACGGGGGTACATCTCCATGCATTTTTCATTTGCCACTTGTGTCACCACTCTGGCTTCCAATTCATCTTCAGTTTGATTTCCAGTGGGCTTCACATATTCTCCCATGGTGACATTTACACACTCACTCAGGAAAACATCTCTTGAAATTGGCTGGCTAGAGTTTGGGTGGTAAACATGGGTGGCAAAACGGTGGCGGTTTTCATTCCACCAACGTTCTTCCTCACTGTCATTAAAACAAAAATGCATCTTGGCTATGGGGGTGCCTAAGATGTAGCTCTCAGGGTCTTCCACTGGAACATCTACAACAGGTCCCCCCACTACATATTTCACTTCATCATCCTTTGGCTTTGGGTCCACTGGGTTGCCACCATGAGGTCTGGAACTGCCTCCTGAAGAGCTGGAGAAAGTACGATACTGCTCAATGCACATTTCCTTCACCACATGCTTCACCACCCTGGCTTCCATCTCATCCTCTGTTGTATTCCCAGTGGGCTCAATGTATTCTTTCACTGTGATGTTCACACAGTCTCTCACAAAGATATCTTGTGGAACAGGCTGGATGTACTGGGGGTAGTAAACCTGATCAGAGTAACGATGGCGATTTTCATACCACCACCGCTCCTCATTCGGGTTGTTAAATTGAAAATGCAGATTAGACATGGCACGTCCCAGGAAGTAGCCTCCAACAGCTCCTGCTGCTGCACCTGCAATTGCTGCTCCAGCCATATGCTTCATCTTAGTCTTGGGGGGTTTAGGTTTCCAGGGTTTGGGATTATAGTGTCCCCACTGAGGATTTTGGGGATTATATGGTTGGTGTGGGAAATACCCAGGATTTTGAGGGTTGGCTGGATATGGTGGAGGATGTGCTGGGTTTGGGGGTTTGCCCGGATATGGTGGAGGATGTCCTGGATTTTGAGGGTTGACCGGATATGGTGGAAGATGTCCTGGGTTTTGGGGGTTGACCGGATATGGTGGAGGATGTGCTGGGTTTTGGGGGTTGACCGGATATGGTGGAGGATGTCCTGGATTTTGAGGGTTGACCGGATATGGTGGAGGATGTGCTGGGTTTTGGGGGTTGATCGGATATGGGGGAGGGTGTGCTGGGTTTTGGGGGTTGACCGGATATGGTGGAGGATGTGCTGGGTTTTGGGGGTTGACCGGATATGGTGGAGGATGTCCTGGATTTTGAGGATTGACCGGATATGGTGGAGGATGTGCTGGGTTTTGGGGGTTAACCGGGTATGGGTAGGCAGGGTTATACGGAGGGGGATTCCCTGGGTTAACGGGATTTGGGGGGTGGGCAGG